GATTCGCTAGTAAACAGAATCTTGTCTCGAAAACTGAAATATTTTGGTCATATCAAGCGCCACGGTGAACTGGGAAAACAATATTAGCAGAAGGCGTCAGGATGTACGGGCAGATGCAAACCAGCACGAAGATGGGCACGGGATACAAGGGGCATCTTGGGTAGGAGAGTGCACACGGTAGGAGAGCTGCGAGTGACTGAGTTTCCTTCAGTCAGATCGTGATGTGAGTGATGCGAACGACATTGTACTAATTACCAGCTACATCAGTGGTTCCCAACCCTTTTAATGCCGCGACCATTTAATACTGTTCCTCATGTTGTGGCCACCTCATCCATAGCCTTTTTTTCGTTGCTACTTCATAACTTCAAAAAAATATGTGTTTTGTGATGGTCTTTGGTGATCCCTGTGAAGGGGTCGTTCGAACACGCAAAAAGGGTCATGACACATAAGTTGAGAACCGCTAAGCTATATGATGATGCATGTGTTGTTATTAGTAACAATTTCTTTTCATCATCATCATATAGCAAGACTTCTACAGAATGTAGAATGAATCTGATATCACAAAAAAGGGGCTTTTATTTGAAATGGATGGTCGTAGAGTGAATCTGGCATCCCATAACTAAGGTGCGTTTATTTGAAGTGGGTGCTGGTCAAGTGAATCTGGCATCCCATAACTAAGGTGCGTTTATTTAAAGTGGGTGCTGGTCAAGTGAATCTGGCATCCCATAACTAAGGTGCGTTTATTTGAAGTGGGTGCTGGTCAAGTGAATCTGGCATCCCATTACTAAGGTGCGTTTATTTGAAGTGGGTGCTGGTCAAGTGAATCTTACCTCACAGAAATAACTGGTACGATTCAGGAATGCGAGTCTACATTGTTCGTCCCTATTCATGGCCTCGCCTGCACGTTCACCCGGAGCCAGAGCTGGAAGAGCCGGTTTCTCTGACGTCATTTCACGTGTGCAGGTAACGCTGAGAGATCAATCGTACATACTCGGCTTACATTACATTGAAATACATTGAATGAAGTATATGCATGCCTAGGATACACTACATAAGAATTACTCTATTGTATATACCATGACAGGACACACTGCATTAGACATACGGTCTTTTCTTTAACATGTCTGAGAAACTCTACGGTTTACATTACATTTGAATTATATATAATATAATCATTACATCCTTTTTAGGACGTAATTTTTTGTTATTTGAAGCCCCACTCTGGCTTTTGCCAGGGGCCGCAATATAGGCAGGTCATCATTATGGCCAAATGTCTGAACGCGGTTTCTGGGACCTCTCCACGGTGATCCTCATCCGCATGGTGGCACTTTGTGTCATCGGGTGTTTATCGCTTGTGTGATGTCCTGGTGGGGTAAAAAATCCAATCCAATCCAATTTGAATTATATTGTAGTATATGTATATCCAAGGTAAACTACATTACTCTGTTGCATATACCATGACAAGACACACTGCATTAGACATGCCGTCTTTTGTTTACCATGTCTCAGATACTCTAAAGGTTAGTTGCGTATCCTTTACAGGACGTTGCAGAATTAACCCCAGCAGCCTCTGGCTGTTGTGTGGTTTCTCTAAGCAAATTTTACGTCCAGTAGTTTGCCAATTCTTTCTGGACGGTCAGACCCCTGATACCACTGTCAAATCTAATGCAAGGCTCATGGCCTGCAGCTGGGATCGAAACCGGCACACCGGCATTACGAAGCGTTCGCAACGTCTTAGATAAAGAGCCGATATCTCAGATACTCTACATTATAATTATACTGTAGTATATAGCATATCAGAGATACAATGAGTTATAATACACTGTAGCTTATAACACACACACACACACTAACAAACACACACAACAAATATCATCATCATTAGCATCATGTGCCCTGCCAACTGGCGTAGACGCTCATGCATCTCTTCAGATCACGATACCTGGTTGCCTGAAACAGCCCTCTTGATGATATCCCTCCATGCCATCGTTTCAGCCTATCCAGCATCATCTCTTTTGGTCTGCCTCTACCCCCTCTTTCCACTAATCTTTCCAGTTGTGATGATGTTTTCCAATGCCTCTCTTCTCATTACGTGGCCAAAGAAAAGTGTCCGTATCCTTCTTATTTGTGTATGGAGATCTACTTTCATTAGCTTCTTTCAAACAATCGTTGTTAGTAACTCTGGCCGTAACAGGTATTCGTAACATTTCTCTTAAAAACCACAGCTCTGTTGCTTCTAAGTTCCTCTCTCTCTCTCTCTTTTTGTCTCTCTCTCTCTCTCTCTCTCTCTCTCTCTCTCTCTCTCTCTCTCTCTCTCTCTCTCTCTCTCTTCAAGATTCGCTGCCATACAGCAGAACAGGTTCTATGTAACATTTAAGCCCTCTCTTTTTGACATTAAATGAGAGCGACTTATTGCCTAAGATATTTTTAATTTTCTGCAATGCTGTCTTCACTTGACCTATTCTGCTTTTAATCTCTGTCACACATTTCCCACCTGATAATATGATTTTCCCTCAGATATTTGAATTTATTGACTAGGTTAAGCCTTTTTCCTTCTGATGAGAAATCACAATGCTGTGTTATCTTCTTCTTTGATATAACAAATTCTTCCGTTTTTTATTATTAAGGGAAAGTCCTTAGCACTCTCTATCACCACACAATCTACACACACACACACACACACACATATATATATATATATATATATATATATATATATATATATATATATATATATATAATCTTCATCATCATGTAGCAGGTCCTTTGCAGAACGTCGCTCTCATCAGAGTCTGCCTGAAAGAAACTTGGTCTCTCGCCAGTTCTCCCGCCTCATGAACTTTCACACTCAAGGAGTCACTTATATCCTGTGCCCATCTTCGTGTCGGTCGTCCCCTGCCACTCCTTCCCGGTACCATGCCTTCTGCTATAATTTTTTTAATCCGTCGTGGCGCTTGATATGACCAAAATATTTCACCTTTCGTGAAAGGAAGCTGTTTATTAGCCAATCTTCCTTGATGTTCAGATCTTTTCAGATGTCAATATTTCTCATCTTCTTATATATATATATATACACTGAATATGTACAGTACATTAAAACAGTTCAGTGGAATCAGACCGCCTTGGGTTGTTTTGACAGTGGTACAGAGAGTTGACCGTTTAGAAGGCAGGGCAAACTACTGAAGGTAAATTTGCCTTAAAAATCACAACAGCCAAATAATAATAATAATAATAATAATAATTTTATCGTTGGTTCTGCAACGACATTTAAAGGATATCCAACTAACATTACAAGTGCAATACGCTATTCATTATGTGCGAGATACACTACATTAAAACTGCCGTGTAGTGTCTATAATGTCCGACATACACTACCTTATAATTAACTGAAATATTTTACATACTGAGAGACACTACAGTGTAGTACTGTTCAGTCTAAGACATTCAATAAAATCACTGTATTACTGAGTTAATTCAGGCTGGAGGAGAAGCCAGTGATGTTCTTTAGCATGCACTATAAGTGAAAATATGGAACAGTGCTGAGTGGCCCAAAACGTGGAAAAGATACGTTTATATTCACGTTCCTGCTTCTTTTTTTCTTCACGGAAATTTCTGGTTGTTCGTCCACTTCTGGACTCTAGTCCTGTTCCAGAAACTGAGTGTTGCATGCACATCTAGTTCAAAGGTCTGACTTATTTGCATGCAAACTGTTGGTTCCTTGCCTCTCAGACAGAGGTACTCCGACTTCGAAGTCAGCTCCCAGTTAGTCGACTCCTACGACATGCTTTCGGGTAGGCATCGTGTGTATTCTTGCAACCCCCCCCCCCCCCCCCCCCCCCCCATAATAGGGCTCCTGAGCCTAAACAGGGAATATTCTCCTTCCGAAAAAAAAAACGAAACCTCAAATTATGTAACAACAATTATCGCACAAAAGCTCTAATTAGTCATGCCAGCAAAATCCTCACGTTGAATTTGGTTTTTGCCTGTGGTGTCCTCCATCTCTAGGTCTTCTCAGTAAAGAGCATTACCCAGTAGTCAACTGTTTAGCATGCTAATACAGTTGTCTAGCACCACTACAAGAGTAGCTTCTGAAAGCAGCGCAGTGGGTACTTTTATATTTTTGTGAGGATTACATTGTTACTACTTCTACTGGTGCCTACTACTACTGGTGCCTACTACTACTACTGGTGCCTACTACTACTGGTGCCTACTACTACTGGTGCCTACTGCTACTGGTGCTACTACGTCTACTCTGGTATCTATACTACTTTTACTACTGCTAATTTACGAGGTACTTCTACAACTGAGAGCTCCCGTTGTGTGGAGGCTAGACGCTCACTTTCGGATCACAAGGTCGAGGGTTCGAGTCCTGATGATGATGGGCTTTTTTTTAAACAAACAACCTTGGCTCTCAGGTTGACCCAGCCTTCAGTGGGTACCGGGTACAAGTCCTGGGAAATAAACGCGGCTGGCGTGAATCTGACCACATCACCCACCCAGTGCTGATTAGTCTATAAAATATAGGTCTAGCCCTAATCGCCCAGTATGCATGAAGGCGTGGAAGAGGTTCGTTTACTTTACTAACTACTACAACTACCTCTAATTCTATATCTACTATTATAATATTACTACTTCATCTACATGCACTACTTTTGTCTCTACTGCTACAAATACAGCCACTACCACAAATACTACTACTACTACGAAAACAACAACAGCAACTACTAATACTACTACTATTACTACTACTTCTACTTTTGCTACTACTATTTGTCTACGACCACTTCTTTTTCTTTGCATCCAGTGATATGCCTCTGGTCTATTTAATCCGATGCAAACGTCCTACCTCTCACCATTCCAGCGCTCCTATGCGTCGCATCACCCCCTCCTCTCACGCACACACACACACACGCTCGAACGCGCACACAACACACGCAGACACACAAACGCACATTCACACACACACACACACACACACACTCACACATACTTATACCTACTTTCTGAGGTACGACTTGAAAGAGGCAATTGAACACGGTGAGAACTTCCAGGTGTTTCCTTCTTTGGCGGGGTCCACAGGCATGCTGCCGTAACCCGACATAATGTACAGATTATCGGGGTCACACTTCGTCTCTTTGCTGTTCTCTTCGTCGTGGTCTGAAGACATGCTGGTGGAGAAATAAAATGCACCACTTGGCAAGGATGTGTGGAGTTATGTGTGGGTTATGGCTGCAGGATAAGTGGATTCACGATTTGGTAAATAGATATAAACTTTATTGTGAGGTGAAGCCTTAGGAAAGTCGCCAATTTAACTATTCTAAAAACTGAATGAATAATGGACAATACTTAAGACATTTCCACAAGTGTCGTGTCGTCTTCCCCAGTAGCTGTTGGGATTTAGGTTATTGACTAACTAATATCTAAGTGTCTAGGAGTTGATGATATCCTGAGGGCCACTTGTTTCGCCTACTAGGAAGACCGATGGAACATGAGTAACATATTATATTCCTCATGCCGTACAACAACGAAATGATAATGAAGGACATGCTAACTGTCTCTCTTCGCTCTTAGTTACAATAAAAACATTGGAGCAATAGCGCCCCAAACATTTTTACAGGACGCCTCTGCTATGCGGCTTTACACTCCCAGCTTCCAAATACTTTTTCACTGATTGTTCCCCTTTCCATTATTCAATTCGGTACATCAGGATGGGGCGTGATGCTGACCACATCACCCATCTTGTGCCGATTTTCTTTAAAAAATATAGGTCTAGCCCTTTATGCCCTATACGCCTAAAGGCGTGGAAATGGGTCCTTTACTTACTTTACCTACATCAGGATGGAGATAGTGATTGCCTTTTTCAGAATCGACATGTGAGCGTTTAGGGTCACTCACTAAATCCCCTTTTCCTGCCACAAACATGATCAGATGTAGATGTTTTCGCAACATGAATACATTGGTTGCATGCATGACTTATTCTTCTTCTCATTCATTTTTCCCCCTCCAGATCGACACTAAATTCTAGATTTGGATGAGGAAATAATATGGGTATATTGATGGCGAGATTGCGATTAGTGGGTGGCTGAATTCGTGGACAGATGGGTGGTGAATGAATAGATGACAGAGAGTGGATGATTTAATCTCTCTTGAAGGACATGGAATGTCTTCACTATTGGTGCAGGCTCGTTTAGTTTCGCTGAGTCGTCTTATAAAGTTAAAGTGCCTTCTTTTCATTTTCCTCCTTGTCTTCCAACTCATCTTTCTCCTATTTTTATTCGGTGTTCTTTCTTTCCTTTTGCTTCTTCTTCTTCTCCTCCTACTCCTCCACCTCTTTTTGTTAGTGATATTATTGTATCTTTTTTATCCCCCAGTAGAGAATAGAACTTCAACCACAGCACACAAAGACCTTCAATTGTTGCCGTATTTTTCAGCTCACACTTTCTCTGTCTCTGACATAATTAATCCGTCCACATTTATAATGTAATAAATAACCACATGATTGATTCATTGTGTTCTATCAAAAATTAGTGGAACACACGAAACAATGGTTGAAATTAGCTAACGTAAGTTCTGTTCCAACAGCAGTAGTTAATCAATCTTACATATGAGCCAGCTTGTGGGTACGTTGATCATCTTACTTGTGGGCTTTCTCACGCGTACGTAAATAAATCTTACATGTGGGCTTTCTCGCGCGTACGTTAAAAGATCTTACATGTGGGCTTTCTCACGCATACGTTAATCAGTCTTACATGTGGGACAGCTCATAGGTAGGTTAATCAGTCGAACCTATGGTCCAGCTCATGGATACGTTAATCAATCTAACCTATGGTCCAGCTCATGGATAAGTTAATCCATCTAACCTATGGTCCAGCTCATGGATATGTTAATCAGTCTAGCCTATGGGCCAGCTCATGGATACGTTAATCAATCTAACCTATGGACCAGCTCGTGGATACGTTAATGAATATAAACTGTGAACCAGCTCATAGGTATGTTAATCAATCAAACATTTGGACCAGCTCGTGGGTACAACAATGAATCTAACCTGTGAGCCAGCTCGTGGGTACACGTGTGTCCAACGTTCTCGTTGAAGTCATTCTCCACGACGGAAACACTGGATACTGTGCAAAGTGTCCCAAGGAACGCATTGCCATAGATGTCTCCATGCTGATTGCTGACCAAGTTCAGCCTGGAAAACACGTTCGTTCGTAATTAACACTACACACACACACGCACACACAGACACACACACACAGACACACACACAGACACACACACAGACACACACACAGACACATAAGCATGGTAATGAGCAGCAGTGGATTACAATCATCATCACGTGTAAAGAAATGATTTTAGAATTATCGCACATCGGGTAGGTTTTTGAGGCCTTTTATGGAGGGGGTGGGGGGAGAATAGGCCCACTGTCCCCGTCAGCATATCATTAAAAAGGACTCACACCTTCAGGAATCGCTAAATTCGTTTGCAGTTCGCCGACAGTTTAGATATCTCAGTCTAGATGTAAAGTACATTACAGTGCGCCTACCGCCTTTTTAAGTTACCCTACATGCACGAAGGAGCAGAAGGGAGAGTAGGAAAATCATTCTAGGTCAGTGTCTGTTAACTTTGAAAAACGGGTCGGAATGGGGCGTCAAGCAATTTTGAAACTGAGTGCTTCTGTACTTGTAAAAATCTGTTATTCTAAAAAGGATATCAGTTTTGCTTTGTTCCTTGTCCCAAAAATACCAGATATCATCAAGACAGAGCAGTGTCAAATATTACTTTGATATCTGGACAGGGAGATGAGTTGCGTATTCTTTCCAGGACGTTGCAGAACCCACCAATTTTTCTATGCCAATTACGTCCAGTAGTTTGCCATCGCTTTCTTGACGGCCGGCTTTCTTGATACCACTGTCGAAACCAACGCAAGGCGCATGGCCCGCTGCTAGGATCGAACCCGGCATCCCGGCATTACGAAGCGTTCGCATCGACCTAGCCACAGAGCCGACTATCTGGACAGTACCTCATTTTAATGATATTTTTCCCCCTTCAAATTGCGGGAGGGAGAGGATGAAGTGGAGATCTTGCCATATAGGCAAAAGGGGAGTTGGGTGGGTGGGGGGGGTGGGTACCTATAAGAGAGTGAAAACATCCAAGGCAGCCTTGTCTCGACATCTCACACGATCACCAGACAGAATCTCGGATCAGGCCTGTTTTCTTATTCTCCTCATGCCACAGAGCCAAGCCATCTATATGTGTGTTTGCTCTTTCTCTTTTTTTCCATACAGATTTCCAGCCGTCACTAGATGTTAAAGTTTATATGCATATTTCAAAGCCCTTACTGCCCAGTTTCAAAACGGAAAATGTATGCAAAATCCAGTTTTGGAACAAGACCTGTGGAGGGAGACTAACACCCGGCGCAGTTTACAACCGATATATGTGAAGAAGTTGAAGAATTAATATTAGATCTTTTTTTTTTTTTTTTTTATTTGAGTGTGTGTGACTTACTCAATATTGTAGTATAAAATAATGAGTGTTTCGCTTATTGTTTTCACTCTGTCTATCTCTGTGTGTGTGTGCGTGTGCGTGCGTGCGTGAGTGTTCTTTTTGTTCACTTTTTAATTATTTCACATATTCCTATATTAAACCGGCTTTGTAAGCCCAAAATTTGATTTTAAAAATATATTTTTTAAGTAAATTAGCATATGTGTTTACCTTTATTTGGTACCAAGTATAATGTTTAATGTTCGCCATAACCTCACAGTACAGTAGATTAGACCAGTTTCATCGTCATTATCATCACCGATGTTAACCAGATAACCATGTTTGCCATTAAAACCGACACATTCTATTCAATAATGCAGACACAAACAATACAAGAGACTCTTGACAGAGTACAAAATAATGCCCTCCGATTAATCTGCGGAGCTATGCAGTCTACACCAACTGCTGCATGTGAAATCCATACAAATGTGGAACCCCTCGGGTTGCGGAGAGAAAAAGCCACTTTAGAAATTTATGAAAGATGCGTTAGGAAAAATCGTAACCATCCTAATAGACATCTTGTAGAAAACTGGGAACCCAAACAAAGAATAAAGCACAAATCGGTTTTACACTGTGTTAATGAAATTCAGGACAGATACCACCTCCCAGAAAGACGTCAAGGAATTCAGAATGTTTTGCAAAAAACCTACCACCACATGCTGCTTTAAAGCTCCAGAAGTCCAAACTAAATTGGTAGGCGAGGAACCAAACAGTCCCGACCCAATCGCTCTTATGAACTCATCACTAAAGACCGTTGATTCTTACCCCCAAGAATGGATACATGTCTATACTGATGGATCAGCATTTAAAGCTACCATTCGTTACGGAATCTACATAGGTTATCCCGATGGATCTGTTGAAGAGATTTTTGATGCATGCGGGGAATTCTGTTCAAACTATGAAGGCTGAATAATTGCACTGGAAACCAGTATACCACCTAAAGACTGTAATGGATGTTTACCCCTCAAAGGTCCCAAAATATTGTCATCTTCACAGATTCAATGTCTATTCAAGCTCTGGAGGGGCAATGAACGCTGCAGAACTGACATAGCCAAGATAATCCTGGATGCCGATCAGCTTATTACCTCATACAACATCAGAATAGTGATGCAGTGGATTCAGGTCACTCCGGCACACCAGGTAATGACAGAGCTGACAGATTGGCAAAGAAAGGAGAAACACAAGAAACAACCACCTACAGCGACAAACCCTCCAGACAGCAAAAACATGATAAGAGCTATAGAAACAAAGAGACTTGGTTGAACAGATGGGCCATGGGAGACACTGGAAGAGAGTTTTATAGACATATGTCTGGCCCTGATCCTAATGACAGCATTAACCATCTAACAAGAAGGGACCAGGGCCACCATCTTCAGACTTAGAACGCAACATACTCCACTCAATGGACACCTAAACAGAATACAGCCACAACACTCCCCAGAGTGCCAGCTATGTAACTACCCCTACGAAACTGTTGAACACCATCTCTTTGAGTGCCCAAAACTCAGTGAGACAAGAAGAAACGCTACTCCCTCCGAGACCAGAACAGTGGAACACCTTGTACGGAGGAAAAGAACAGCTTGTGAAAACATGCAAATTCCACTACATGGCATTGGGCCAAAGGGCGAAAGCTCATGCGCCGCTGGATCGATAACAACAACAATACAACAGATGTTTGCCAAACACTCCTTGCCGCTGTTTCAGTGTTGAGATATACGTTGAGATGCTACCATCCCATACCCGCTCATACCCAGTTACGGTACCTGGTACTCCACAGAGGGTATTTATTCCCCCAGGCGACACGTGTAGTCATTCTGCTGAGAAACCACCCACCCGGCTGCTTCGAGATATCAGCTAAGTGATTTTGTGTATCTGTGTAGTAGTTTCATTTGTATGTGCTGATGAAGGCTCAATAGCCGCAACGTTCACAGTTTTGTTTGTATTAGTTATATTGTGAAGCTTGCTAATATACTTTTCGTTCGGTTCTATATCTTTTCTTGACATTAAAGAACCAGTGTTTTGTTCAAGCACCATTGCTCAAGATGTATGGTGTATTTTGAAGAAAAAGCGCGATTACACCAGCGCTTCAAATCGCCGCACACAAGACAGAGTCATGAGAGAAACACCGGCCAAGATAGACAGATCCGGCACGACAGTTTTTAAGATGGCTACATGGAACATTTGTGGTATGGGGGATAAAGTGGCTGAATTGGTTGAATTTATGATTAAGAGTAACATCAAAGTTTTGGGAATTTCTGATATCAGAAGAAAAGCTCAAGGCGTCCAGAAAATTCATAAGAACTTTGTTCTGATTTGGAAAGGGACTCAACCACAAGAAACTAACAAACATGGAGTGGGTTTTATCATTGCTCCAGAAACAGCAAAATATTTACTAGATTCAGATTTCGTGTCAGAGAGAATCATAAGTATCAGACTGGCTGCAGGTAAAAGAAGAGTATCGTATATTCAAGTATATTCTCCTTGTAACGACATTTACACTGAAGAAGAAAGAACGGAATTTTTTGACTTAGTGATACCATCAGTAAAGTTACAGACACTGATGGCTTGTATGTGATGGGAGATTTCAACGGACATGTGGGAGAACGTCGACCTTCATGGTCCACATATATGGGACCATTTAGTGACAAAGAAAATAAATGTAACAACAACGGAGAACAATTACTCAATGTATGTGCAGAGCATGAACTAATTATCAGCAACACGCTATACCAACATAAGAGAAGCAAGATATTGACCTGGTATAAATGGAATAATATTAACCAAGCATCACAGATAGATTTTATTCTCACAAAAAAGAGCGACAGATGGAGAATAAAGAACTCCAGGGCCATCCCAAATGCAATAATAGACTCTGACCATAGACCTGTAGTACTTTGGCTCTATAAACCAACAAAAATTTGCACTGATAAAACACCACAGCTAATGGATCAGATAGCCATAGAGAAACTAAAAGGCAAAGATGTGGCAATTCAAGTTAAGGAAACAGTTAAAAACACCTTCAGTACTCTAGAGAGAGAGGAAATGACATAGAAGAAGAGTGGCAAATTTTTTAAACCTGCATCCTGAATGTAATGACAGAAAAGTGTGGACTCCGAAAGCCAAGAAGGCACATGAAACAAACAACATGGTGGAATGAAGAAGTTAAAATTTCTATCAAAGAAAAGAAGAAATATTTTAATCAGTGGCAAAAGTCCAAATTAGATGAGGACTACATCAAATATAGAAAAGCAAGAGCAAAGAGCAAGAGGAAAGTAAATTCGGCGAAATCAGAATCATGGGCAAACTACGGAGAACAATTAGCAAGGCTATGCACTGATTCACCAGGTCAGTTCTACCGAAGCATCAAGGCTGTGAGACTGAGAGAAGAGAAATTTAACCCATCAAAGATCATAAACAGTAAGGCTAAAAAACCACTCACCAAATCCCAAGATGTTAAAAGAAGATGGCAAGAATATTTTTCTGAATTACTGAATAGTGGACCACAAGAACCAGTGTCTAATAAAATAAAATTTGGACAAGAACAAGAACCTAATATATTAGAATCTGAAGTTGAAAAGATCCTAGAGCAAAGCAAAAGAAACAAAGCGGCCAGAGCAGATGGTATTACAACAGACATAGTACTTGCATGTAAGGCAACAGCAGTAAAATGGCTGACAAGAATATTCAATATGGCCTGGGAGGAAATGAAAGTTCCCGTTGACTGGCAGAGAGCAATTATAGTTCCCATATGGAAGAAGAACGGTGATAAACGAGATTGTGAAACATACAGAGGTATCCCTTTACAAAGCCATGTAGTAAAGGTGTTTGTAAAAATATTAGAACGAAGTGCAAGGGTGATATTAGAACCTCAGTCAATTAAGTAACAACCAGTTTGGATTTAGAAAAGGAAAGAGCTGCACTGATGCAATATTTACTCTTCGGCAAATTTGTGAACAGACAATCGAATATAATAAACACCAGAATCTTATATTCATTGATCAAGAGAAGGCTTTTGACAGGGTTTACAGAAATAAACTATAGAACATTCTTGAAGAATATGGGAAACATAATGGCTCTCTATCAAAATAGCCAGAGCGCTGTAAGAACAACGGAAGGTATGACAGACTGGTTCCCCATTACACCAGGAGTACGACAAGGATGTGTCCTATCACCCCTACTCTTCATCACATATGTGGATAAAATTGCACAGGAGTCAAACCAAAACACAGATATTATAAATGAACTACTCTTTGCAGATGACCAATGTTTGTTACAAAAAGAAGAACAAAAACTACAACAACATGTTGATTAATTGCTCACTTACTGTACACAATTTTACATGAAAATAAACACCTCAAAAACTGAAGTAATGAACATAGGAAAGAAACATACAATTACAACAAGTTCAAGAATTCAAGTACTTTGGATGCATATTTACAGAAGATAGAAGACTCGATAAAGAGATACAGGCTAGAGTTCAAAAAGCCAATGTTGTCAACTACCAACTGACCCCACTTCTTCGTCATCCAAAGATCTCGTTACCAGCCAAACAACGGATGATCAACAGCATTTTTCATCCCTACGTTATGTTATCAGTGCCAAACGTGGACAATGAACAAATCACATATGCAAAAAATAACTACATGTGAAATGCGATGTCTCCGAAGAGTCACCAACAATACAGAGTCACAAACGTCAGCATTAGAGACAAAGTTGGAACAAGAGCATGCATGGAACATATTGAAAGACAGAGAATGAAGTAGTTTGGCCATTTAGTAAGAATGCAACCGGATCAGATTGCCTATAAGGCCTTTTACAGTAGACCATCGGGAAGAAAGGCCATAGGAAGACCCAGGAAAAATGGATAGATGGAGTAGCTGAATACGGCCAAAAGATTCAGAAAACTCACTCAAATCACGCGAGAGGCATAAAACAAATATTTTAAACCACGACACTGGGCTGCAACCCGGTAAAAGTGAAGAAGACAAAAGAGATAGAAAGAACCAATGTCACCGTATACTAAACCCAATTGTATTTATCTATTTACATGTAATTCCCAGTTGACTTACAACGAACGGGGAAACAGCGTGAAAATAGAGTGGTAGAGCATGTACAAAAATGGCTGCATGGATAGGTGAGTGAACACACACGAGTTTCAAAAGCAACCCAGAAGAAAGAACCAAACACTTATAGAGGTCGCCATTTGCTCGAGTCCGGACATGTAATTGACAAGGATAATGCTTTCTTGTGTGATTTACCATACAACAAACAAGCGAATACTGAGACTGTCCGAAGTTTTACAAATGTCTAATCCTCTCTTACGTGACCATCGTCATCATCATGTAGCAGGTCCTTTGCAGAACGTCGCTCTCATTACAGTCTGCCTGAAAGAAACTCGATCTCCCGCCAGTTTTCCCGCCTCATGCACTTTCAAACTCAAGGAGTCACTTAAATCCTGTGCCCGTCTTCGTGTCGGTCGGCACCTGACCCTCCTTCCTGTTACCATGCCATCTGCTATAATTTTTTTCCAATCCCTCGTGGCACTTGATATTACCAAAATATTTCAGTTTTCGAGAAAGGATGCTTACGTGACCAGAAGAAGTTAATTGAAGTTACCCTGGTAAGTCACGCGACCATCGTGAATTTATGCAACAATAGATCGCAAAATACAATTTTCGTATTCCAGTGGAATGTACTCATTTGTTTTGCTTCATTATGTAATGATGTAACTCTATAGTAACGTACATGAGGAGATGCTGCGAAATATGCCTGACAATAAAATGGTCAATATATTGTTTGTGTGCGCATTTTATACATTAACTACAGGAAAACATTGTTTTCAACATTTTGTTAATGTTAGCATGTAACTGAACTTTTCTAGTAGTTTTGGCCGAAAGGCAGCATTTTTCTCTCTTGTGTGTTAGTCTTCTTCTTCAGCCTACCAAACTCTTTGAAGTTCATTGCATCAGATATAACCCGCTTCTACTCGTCTGACTAGCCTTCTATTTCCACCTACGGATGCACGTTTAGATGCCAGGCAACCTGGGTTTGACTTTCTCCTGTCTGCAATCGGTCAATAGCAACATTCCATAAATGTATAGTTGTGTCATTCGTGACTTCTTGAAAATGAACTGATAGTTTTGGTTTAGCGTTATCCTTTTATATGTTTTGAATTGCGTAGGCAGTGAATAGTGTTCCCCACAAATTATGTTGCTTTTTCGTGCGGACATCATGAGCTATGCTCACAAATATGGTCTTAAACACATTTCACGATTACAAAAACCCTCTGGACACTGTAAACAATATTTGAGTCTGTTTTTCACATACCCGAGTACGATATTTTATTTACAAACTAATAAAATCGGGCCATCGGATAACTATGCGTTTTTTTTTTTTTTTGGGGGGGGGGGGGGACAATATTATGTGAACTGTAATCTGTCTAAGTCGGCGTCTATGGCTTAGACGCTGCGACCGCACTTTGTAATGCCGGCATGCCGGGTTCGATCCCAGCTGCAAACCTTGCGTTGGTTTCGACAGTGAAATCAAGAATCCGACCTACAGAAAGCAATGGCAAACTACTGGACAAAAAAAACCACAACAGATAAACAAAAATGCTGGGGTTGGTTCTGCAACGTCCTGTAAAGGATACGCAATTAACAAACAACAACAAAAAATCGGTCTAAACTAAAACAATACAAACCAGAAATCGTCTATCTACAGTACCTACCCGGTAAACAGCATGTAGTGGTCACTGGTCGGTAGGTCATCCTGATTCTGGTACCATATTTGTAAGCTCTCCAGGCTTTCTTCGCCAATGAGCACGCTGGTATTTTTACAATTAGGAAACAAGTTTGCATTATCTGTTTCCTGGGGAAAATAGTAATTCATCTTTTAGCCAGTATCTGGTGTTAAAATTATTGAGGGAAACCGTTCATTAAAAAAAGGTATAGGTTGCCTGAGTTTGTCTAGATCTGGTGTAGAAATTCTTGATGGTGACTGGATAGGAGGAAAACGGAAGATATGGTTTGAATATGTCTAGTTTTGATAGTGTAATTATTGAGGGCAGCCTTCCACAGAGGGAAAGAAGGTGACGTAGAGGTTGCCTCAATTTATTCTAAGTGACGATTGCAATTGTTCATAGAAAAAGTTGAGGGGGAAAAGGCGGAGGGGGCGGTTTTTAGTGTCTGAAAATGTCTAGATCTGGTATTCTCAGCACTATGAGAACAGTTAGGAAAAGAAAAACGTAGAGATCTTCGAATATCAACATAAGATTTCGATTGAGATTTCGATTGAGATCGTCTATTGACAGGAACAGTTCATGTGGAAAAAAAGGATGTCCTGTTGTGGGCAGGTGTTCGGTTAGAATTGCTTGTGGGAACAGTTCAGGGGGAGTGTCATCTAAAAAGCAGCATTGTAGAGACATACGAGAACATGGCATGTATACGGATGTTGAAGCTGAACATACTTAGGCTGCTATCCAAGAGCTGTAGTTTGATATGGTCGTACGACTTTTGTATCTTTAGACTAATTAATGATGATGAATAAAAGAAATAACGTTGGGATTGGTGGACAGATGGGTGGATGAGGGAATGAATGGTAATTGACTCGCCATCATTGCATTCGGAAGATTCACACCGCAGCGTTGTGTTCTTCAGCAAACAAGGAGCCTCCAACCTGATTATATCATGGATAACCTGTTTCAGCGTCTGTTTTCAAAGGAGTTAGGTTCTCTAGACACCCAGCTAACTCCTTGCTGAATCAGTCTCGTCATGTTGGATAGTCTAATCATTTGCACTTTCTACTTGATCTCAGAGTTCTTCCTGCATCTACTTTATCATCTTTAGAAGGTGTCATTTGCACCAACCATCCTAATTTGACAGAGTAGTCGGCGATGACATGAACAAAAAGTAATAGATTGATAAGATCATTTCATTATAACTTTGGAGTACATAGCAGAGAACAACAATTTAATAAATTATAATTTCAAAGTAGTGGTAGTGTTATTTTAAATTAGAAAACAGCAGATGAAATAGGTTTGGCCATCACATCCGGTTGCCAACAGACAATATACCACAGTGGGAATTATGTTCCTACAAGTGAAACTTGAAAGAGGGGGTCGACCATGTAAGCGATCATTAGAATGAACCCAGAGAGATCGACATAAACAGGTCCTTCCGTTTATTTTTCACCTTGACACTGGCAGATACAAGATGACCAGAAGGAGATGAGATGCATTTTTGGACAGACCGGTTGGTCACGATAAATGAGGGGTACATTGGAGTTGATAATATTCAAATACCCTGCAAGCAAATGTTCTTCTTTTAATTTATACTTGCCATACAGACATAGAATGTTTTTGCCAGTGGGAACTTACGTTTAAAATTCTTAGAACCGTTACCGTAGTGCTGATAGCGATATCTGGATCCTTGATGTTCTGGTACCGGATGTTGATCTGAAACATGAATTTAGGGGAGACAGATGTTCGTTTGTGTCCTTGTTTAGATGTCTAGATAATAGAGGATACGTACCGGTAAACAATATTTCATAATAAGCAATGATATGCGGACACGTGGAGATTTAAAGAAAGGTCGACGATGTAAACAACATTAGTGATTAAATATAGTAATCCCCACGTGGGATGCAATTTCTTGTTTTGGAAGCCCTATCCTGGCTTCTGCCGAGGGCCCTGAATATAGCCGGGGTATAGATATGGCCCAAAGCCTCAAAGGGGTTTCTGGGACTTCTCCACAGATGATCCTCATCCGCATAGTGGCACTGGTGGGGTACAACTACCTACCTACCTACATGTAAACAACCATTAGATAGAGTAGTAGAGTCATTAGAAACCCACAGAAACAAAACCCACAAACTGTCAATCGCCTACAGTTGATAATACAAGTGTATCTAAACAAATCTTTTCCCCAAGTAGATGATTGCATGCGGCAGCCTATTTCAAGATGCGGTCTTGGCGTGTCCGAAATCGATCACATCTGGGGAATAACCTCTACCACGTAAACTGGAGCGCAATGGATTACAATGGTCTACAAACATTATGGTGCTTCAAATGTTGTAGATGTTCTTTTGTAATTGTGTGTTGCTGATTCCAAAAAGGTAATCAGATTGCTGTTTTTGTTTTTCGAGCGGTTGATATGCAGAAGCCTAAATGAGGGGGTTTTCGTAGCATTTTGAATTGTATCTGCATTCATAATATATGTATTGACTCTGCATTTATCACCTTTATATTCAACAACCAAATATATTAAAACTTGATCACGATAATTAGTTTATCAGTAGTCAACACAGAAAGTTTCTTTTCTAAGACGTCCAGAAATGTGAAATACCATGACATTGTTAATGGTTAAACAGTAATCTGTCATCATATGGGAATCATGAAGTCAGTTTTATCTTCTTCCACTGCTTTTATATCTCGGTGAAATCTTTCACATTGTTCCTTACAGATATTGTCAAAATTATCCAGACAGAAGGGTGTTTGGATATGTAGGAAGTGCAATGTAATGCTTATGTCGCATCCAAGCTTGCAAAAACTCTACAAATTTTCCAGCTATATCAGAAAAACTGTCTGATTTTAAATTACCTAGAAAGTGTTGCACAGTTTAAACACATGGTGACAAGTATGTGAACTCTGCTTTATTCATCGAATCAGTCAGATTTAGATCGTTCATTAACCTTCTAATTTGAGGTCCATCAAAAAAGTCAGCTTTAAGTTTAGTCTATGCTCAATTCAATCGGTCTGCATGCGTAATTAAAACAGGTACCATCTTTGTTCAGTCCCTTCACAAACTGCTTCACAAAGGAAAGAATTATATCTGCTGGTGGCAGTAAAAATCTTGTTCGATTAATGAGTCTTCATTAACAACAACATTTGTCTCCAACTTTGAACTCCTCAACGGTCAACTTTAACTCCTCAACAGTCACAGTTTCTTTTTTCCAGTGCGTATATTTTGTCGTCCTATCTCACAAACATAAAAAACATTGATCTTTTGTGAATCCTCTTTGCTGGCCAAGAAAGGTCATAAGATGAATATCTACACAGACCATCCAGTTATGCTCTAAACACTTCAATGTTTCTATAACTGTGCTTATTGCAGTTGTTGTTCACTGTAGTAGAATGAGCAATGGGGCGTGAGCCACATTTGTCGCCAATGTGTAAGAGAACACCTTTCACACTTCTTGCAGAGCTGTTAATGAAAAGTTACCCACGTTTCGTTTACAAGACTTCCTACATTGGAACAAAACACACAGTTGTTTCCTTTGCAACTGAACAATGGAAATCTTGCTGTCTGTTGTGCAAAGTAGGTCCGTTATTTCAGCGGTCAGTAATTTTTTTTTCTTTACATTTTGATGTCAAAAGTGTAGATGATTCCTTGGGGCTATATAAATCTCGGATTAGTTCATTCAGTTCAGGCTGGTCGTAGCGTTGTGCAGCTGAACAATCATCATGCAACTCACTATTACTGTCACATGTGGTTTCATATGCCACTGCTGTCTCAGCTTCTAGCTCGGAATTCCAAATCTGACTGAAAGTTGGAGTTTTGTCATCTCCATGTGGAACTGGTCGTTCAGCAGAATTGTAATCTGGATTTTTCCAATTGTTTTTTAATTAACCCCCCCCCCCCCCCCCCCCACACCCCCTACCACCACTGATTTCCCATAATGTTGACAACAGAGAAGTAACAGTCACAGATTTTCTTTGTCTCCAAACCACTGGCATTCCGAATTGTAAACAAACAGGAGACTAGAAGTAATATTTTCCCCCCAGAGCTTTATGCATAAAATATTATAGTAATAATAATTAACAACAACAATTCCCGAAGCACACGTTTGCTTGCTATGCTGTGAATTCCTAGACTGTCAGTGACTCCGTCATTCCATCTTCTTCCATATCTCTCTCTCTCTTCTCTCTCTCTCTCTCTCTCTCTCTCTCTCTCTCTCTCTCTCTCTCTCTCTCTCTCTCTCTCTCTCTCTCTCTCTCTCTCTCTCTCTCTCTCTCTCTCTCTCTCTCTCTGTCTCTTGGTGTTTCAATACTCACGTTTTAAACTCTCTCTGCTAGCATTGTTGGAATCATTTCAGGAGTATTGTTACAATAGTTACAATGAACTTCGCAGTCAACTGTGGTAATAACCAGTGACACAGATTACACATACTCACTGACTCGGCAACAAATGTGTACCATAGCCTCATCTCACTGACGGTATTCTCCATTCCTACATACTTCACCCACCTGAGAAAGAGATTTGTTTGGAGATAATTAAGGATCGAAAACTATTTCTCCCCACGACGTTTAACTTTAAACATTGCGCAGATGTGGAAACTGATGATGATGGCCTCAATTATTATTTCACGGCATTATTGGTACGTATTGTTCAATATTTTGTTGTTCGTGTTCCATATTTTGTATAACCTCTTTATAACCCCTTGACCTCTTCATAACCCATTGAACCCCTCGAGGCTCTAAAAGGGATGTTTTGGACAGTCAATAATTTGGGACCGGTATTCGGAAGAGTGCCCAATTCTCATACTGTTTTGAAATAAGTAAGTTTAATCTTCCGATACTTCTTAGCTAAATAATTACAAATGCCCCGATGTTGTTGATAATTGACTAAAAATATTTCATTGTTTTCTAACAATTCCACGAATATTTATGTTGCATGTTGTTTTAATTTCTCTGTTGTTATCTTTCCATTTTGTTCTTTGTCTGCCTCGTTTCCTATGTCCGTCTTCTCTTTTAATGTGTGCCTAATATGATATAGCTTCACAAGACATTCTCTGTGAGTAGGCAAAACATTGATTTGCTGCCTTTGTATGTAATTTAGAATTGGGTCTGTGCCGTTTTGCTCTTTTTTGACCTCGTTCCTGATTTGTGTCTCTTATGGTCACTCCTGCAGCCGGTCTTAGACATCTAATTTGCGTGGTTACTAATTTAATTTTCTGATTTGTTGTTAGTGATTATGTCTGGAATGAATATGCTCTCTTCGCTATTTGTTGTTGACAAGATAATTTGTTTTCATGGAAGTCTGAAACTCCTTCTCATATATAACTTCATTTATGACAATACCTGTGAGTTCCTTCTGTACTCACTTCCCAGCATATTCACAAAATTTCATTACGTGTGAAGTGTATGCCAGTGTCTTATTTGACGCACAGAGAAGAGAAATTACAACGAGTGCAAATCAATCGTGACAGTGTGTTTCTCATTCTTTTTCGTCTTCTTCTTCTTCTTATTTTTCTTCTCCTTTTTTTTTCTTCTTCTTCCTTTTCTTCTTCTTTGCCGTTGCTTCTGCTGCTTTATTTGTCTTTAAAAAGAACTGTTGACACGTTATGCTGTGGTTTACAGTTAGGCTGTGGTATTTTTGCCATTCAACCTAAAATTCCGGTTTGACAAAATCCTTAATAACTTACGTTTGAAGTCATGCCTGTTAATGTCACTTTTTCGTCTTGTTCATCTATCGTCTCAGTTTTACCAGGGTGTATCACAGTGTCGTAGTTTTCTACATTTGTCATGTGCTTCTCGGATGGCTTGGTTGATAAATGTGTTCAACCTTTTTTGTTATTGTTGCAGGTTCTGCTAAAACATTTATCCAATTCTTTCTCAGCCTTCCTCTCGCCTTGATCCCAAATCTTCTGCTAAAAAACGTATCATATGCAGTTTGGTCTGGCTGGATTCTTACTAGATGGAAGCCTGGTTTCATTCTTTGTATGTCAAAACACACTAGACATGGTTTTATTCAAACTTTCCCTCTCATGCTAGTATTCGTAACCCTGTCTTTTATTCAATATTTGTAGTGTAGTAGAAGTTACGCCAGTGCTAGGCCCGTGGTTAAGTGCACTGCACTTTGTATATATATATTATTTAGTCCAAACATGCAGCCTGAGAACCCAAACCGAGGATCAAGCTAGATAAACTGACATAATCGTTATAAGAATGATAGTTTCAGAAGTTTCCGTAAATACCCACTTGGTTTGACTTACTTGCTGTAATGTAAATACCCACTCTGTTTGACATCCTTGCTTTAACATAAATACCCACTCGGTTTCGTTTACTGGTTATAATGTAAATACCCACTCCGTTTGACTTACTGGTTATAATGTAGATATCCACTCTGTTTGACCAGTTCCAGTTCCAGTTTGTTTAAAAAAAATTTTTTTTTTTAGTCGCCCTAACCAGCTCCAAAAATGAGCGGCGGTTATGTTGGGACTGCGGTTTCTTGCTTGAGATTTCCAATAGTTCTTTTTTTTTTTTTTTCCATTGCGACGTGCGTTCATGTCTTGAAGTGGTTTCCTTGCGTATATCTGCTATACTGACTGTGATTTGGAGTGGGAGCCTACTAGTCCTGAGAAGGACTAATAGGGTTTGCCTGGGGCGGCCTCGATCGGGGTAGGGTGGGAGTAGTCTTGATGGTCGACATCATGCCTGGCTGGTCGCGGGTAGTGGGTTTTTCTTCGTTCCGGTGAGCTGGTTTCGCGAGCTGTCATGTCGGCTTGCGTGGTTTCATACTGGTTGCTGGTTTCTGCTTGTGTGGTCGCTGGTGTGTTTAACAGTTCTTGGGTCGGCGTTGGTTTTTCTGTTTATTTGCCTGGCTCCATCCAAGCTGGGTGTCTTTTTCCTGTTAAGGACCTTCTGCGCTCTTTGCATTTCTGCGAGGAGTTTGGCTTGGAATTCCCTGTGTCGTTCAGTTCTGGGTTGTTGAAGTCACATTCTTCGTCATATTCTGTTAGGCGCCAAACGCCTTCCTTCCTCCATTCTCCCTGGTTAGGGTATATCAACTCGTTTATTAGTCCTTCCAAGTCTTTGATAAAGGCTGGTGTCATATCCTCATCTGTGACGAGGGCTGGCATCTTGAATTTCATGCATTCTGGGTCTTCATCCGTTGACTGCGCTGAAACTTCTGCCTCTGCGTTTTCTGTTTCTTTCTGCGAGTAGTTCTCTTTCTTGCTTTGCTTCACGGGTTGCGGCTTCTGCTTCTGCTGTTGTTTTGACTAGCAGGGCGACTTCTCTGTATGTAGATTCTCTGGCTTCGTTTAATAAAGCCGTCTCTGTCTTTCTTTCTTCTCGTTAGGCTTGCCGGTAGGCTGCTGCCTGGTCCTGATCTGTCTTCAGCTGTGTCAGAGGGCCCTGAAGTTTTTGGCTCGCTTCATTGATTTGCTCTAGCAGCTTGGTGTATTGCTCAGCTTCTGCTATCCTGTCTCGTTTCTGGGCTTTGATTTCGTCGAGTGTTTGGGATATTAGTCCCAGCATCTCGAGTCTTTCAGCGGTGGCCTTCTCTCTGTCTCCTGTCAGCTTCTGGACTCCAATTTTCAGTTCTACCACTTCCTGGGTTATCGCGTTTTTGTTTGCGACTGGGATCACCTTCTCTGTTCTTCTCGGTATTGCAGCTTACACTTTTTAAGGTAGGTGCAGTCCAGGAATCTGGGTCCATCTTGGCCAGTGGGCACCTTTTAAAATCGTGCGGCTTGGAGCAGTAGCGGCATACTGGGCTACTGCGGCAATTTGCGGCTGTGTGCCACGCCTTGTTACAGCGTGAGCACTGAACAACTTCTGCACTGTGGGTTCCCGGTCGCTGCTGCTGCTGCCTGTGTGGGCGGGTGTAGGTGTGCTCCTGCGCCACGACTGGGGCGACCTGAGTGTGATGCTGCCTTGACAGGGGCTGCATCCAGGGCTGGTGGCGTCTGGGTGGGCGAGGCTGGTGTCTCCACCGGGGCGTCAATCAGTTCTGGCATCGTCTGCACCGTAGGCGCTGGTGCGATGACAGGTGCTACCTCGTTGGCTGACGTTGGTCTAGTATCACGGTCCTGGCTCGGCTTCTTCTCGCTGGTTTTGCCACGGGCCATAATTGCTGTGACTGTGGCTGGCAAGAGCTGTACTTATCAGGCTGCTGTCGAAAGCTCGATCCCTACAGAGTCGGCAAGGCTTGTTAAGTGCTCTGAGAAGAACACCAAGCGTGCTTTCTCCGCAGTTCACGAGACAATCGTTAGTATCTGGTGCGAAAACGGGCTGCCAAAAACTCCACTCGCAACACCGACTGAGCGATAACCAGTTAAGACAGACTCAGCCGAATGTCAAGCGAATCAGTGTCAAGTATCTGGCTATAGAAAATCGAGCCACGAATAGAAAGTCAGCGATCGAGCGGAAGACGAGAGGTGTGTACGACTGGGATGTCTGCCGCATGTGGTCATCTGTATCCCTGCTTTTAGTTCTAAACTATCACTCTGTTTGACTTTCTTGCTTTAACTTAAATACCCACTCGGCTTGACTTACTTGCAATAATCTTCAAAATCTACGATGAAAGCAATTTCCACGACATGCCGGGTGGGCCTCTCTGAGCTCGGGTCTATTTCTTCGCCTTCTCTGTCAGGCTGCGCTGTGTTGTTTTCTGTGTTGAGCGTGGTCGACTCTGTTGAAAAGATTACGTGCCAAATAATGTTGTCTATCATTCGCTCTGTGTGCTTCTCCCGCCCCATTCGTATTTTTTTTTAAATAAAGCATTTATTTCTATAGGTCGTAGTATTTCATGCGGGCGGGGATGGGGGGGGGGGAGGCACACAGTACTACGGTACAACACTTCAGCTTAAAAATGTAATTAATGAGGAAACTTCAACGTAGGCGTTGTCTTTCGTTGGTTACGGAATAGGTTGATGGGTTGTGCGGACGATAAAGCTATACAAGGCAGAGATAAAGAAGGAAGGGAAGAGGCAGAAGAAGAAGGAGAAGAAGATAAATGATGATGATGATGATGACGGAGATGAATAAAGTAAGTAAAGTAAAGTTCTCCTTTAAACGTCTTTAGGCGTATAGGGCATATAGGGCTAGACCTATATTTTAAATACCAATCTGCACAAGATGGTGACGTGTTCAGCATCACGCCAGCTGCCCTTACTTCCCGGGACTGCACGACGTACCCACTCAAGGTTGGGTCGACCTGGAAGTCAAGGTTTTTTTTTAAAAAAAAAAGTCCGGCTTCGCCAGGTAGCGAACCCACGACCTTCCAACCCGCACCTGAACGTCTAGCGGCCACTCCCAGACGAATAAATTAGTAAGGAAAGAATGGATGACGGAAGAATTGAAGCGGAACACGACAAGCCACACACAAAAAAAGTGTGAAAAACGTAATAATAAAAACAACTGCAGGTATGATAATAATAATAATAATAATAATAATAATAATAATAATAATAATAATAATAATAATAATAATAATAATAATAACAACAACAACAACAACAACCTTCAGCTTGTTCGCCAGGAAAAGACATATTTGTAGCGATATTGTGAGCATCAGTTTGTTCAACCCTTTCACCAACATTAGAGATATTAGGGGCCATGTAAGGAGAAATCAGATGTGGCATGCCGGTGACCTGGTGGACATCTCTCTGGTGTCTGGTCTCATAGTGAAGTATCCAAGCCACATCTTGGTGAACGAATGTCCCTCTCTGGAAATATAACAGGTAGTTAGTTATCTATTTGTCAAAACATTAGTTGAGCATCCTGTAAATATCGTTGGGTGAGATCCACTATAATCACCCCAGCCGAACTAGGTCACGTTCTATTGATAGATTTGTTAGACTCGTCTGCTGTCGGTGTGGAAAGGTGGGGTGGGGGGGGGGGGGGGTTAAAGGTTATATTGTTTTCTTTCTAGCTTGTCTTGCATTTACGTTTTTGTTCAGAGAAGAGAATGTAAGTGACATAGGTTGCAGCACTTTCTAGGGAGTGGTGGGGGTGTGGGTTATACCCATTTTCTAAATGTGCTTAAATATACAACACGTGATATCAACGCATTGCCAAACACCCGCCTAGCAGTGTGCAGAGGTCGGGTGACTGGAGGTCGACCAATCCGAAGCAAGCTAGTGTCTAACGTGGGGGGATTATAGTGGAACTAACCCGGAGTTGCGCAACCAGCCTCACCAGTGTTTAACTGTTTGTGATTTCACTATGCATTTTTTCGTTCAGTAGTTTAGTAGAGCTTTAGGAGAGAACTAAGCAAGCTCCAGTGTACCAAGAGGTGAAGAAAAGACGGTGGCGTTGGATAAGACACACATTGAGAAAAACCGGAAAACAATATAACTAGAATGTCCTCGCATTGGAACCCACAGGGGCATACGAATAAAGTAAGGCCAGAAAACACATGGAAAAGGCCAGAAAACACACGGAGAAGGGAGCTGGAAAATAAACTTAGAAATATGAGGAGGTCATGGGGAGAGCTGCATGCGATAGCAAAGGATAGAACGACTTGGCGTGAGTTGGTTGAGTGCCTTATGCTCCATTGGGGGCTGGAATACAGAAGAAGAAAAAAAGCAGAAGTTTACCATTGCTGCTGAATGGTTAGTTCTTAATACCACTGTCTAAATCAGTGCAAGACTGTCTGCTGCTGAACAGGGCTGCCGAAGCTGTTACTTTCATACACATTTGGCACTGTTTGACCCTTACCTAGTAAAACTACTTTTGGTACCGCGCCATATATTTTGGTAAGTGTTAATTTTACCGCAGAGAGCAATGTTATACAGATACAGCAGTAAAAGAGCCAGAGAACGACCACACAAAATATGGCCCGCAGAAAAAACAGAGACACTAAAAAGCATGTAATACGAAGCGAACAGAAAGGCCTCTTCCTGAGGTCTCTTCAGGAAATGAAATGGTTTGGACATCCGTTGAAATCCTTTGGCATCCACTGCTGAGGAGCGCCTCGCTAAATATTGTATCATAAACATAGAGCAAGGGAAAAGACTACATAGAAGATGGTACGACCAAGATTTTAAATACAGCCCTTAATAATAAAGATAAGTTAATGCAACACGTTTGAAAATAACTTTATAAACTGCCCACCGCCTCACATACACACAGACTTCGATGAGATAATTAGAGGAAGAGAAGAAAAAGGAGACTAGAAAGAAGACTATATTGATGGTGATGGAGGTGATGATGGTGGTCGTGATGATGATGATGAGAAGAAGGATGATGACGAAAAAAGGAAGACATAAAACAGATCTAGTGACAAACCAGCCATTTAATAAGCATAAATACAGACTCATAATTACATACCAGATAGACAGACAGACAGACGCAGAAATACGGACACCAAACACATACCAGCATATAGCTGCCAGATTGCCTCCTGACTATCATGGATGCGCAGGAAGACAGGTCTGTGAACACGGACGCATCCTGTAGACACATAGACAAATCAGATAACAACAGACCTGAACTGTCGCCGTCTACCACCGTCTCATTGTTCCAAAAACTAACACAGAGAAATGCCGGGGAATCACTTGCTCTATAAAAGTCGTTTTATTTCCTGTTCAATTAGTTAGATGCCGTTGCCGTTTCCACAGTGAAGATTGGCTGCAATGAATCTTTAAAATATTCACAGAGCATTTTGAGAAATTGGAGATAGGTATAGTCCGTTCTGAGTGGCAAGCATCACTTCACAGGTCCGGGCAGTTAGTATTCTTTGGACATTCTCTCCACGTAATGCCGGTGTGCCGGTGTATTGGGAAATTAGCTGGAGATAGACTAGCCGGTTCTGCACCACTTGGTGGTGAATTGAAGTATGACAAGCTAGAAGTTGTGAGGGCTCTTTGGGAGCGAGTAAACAGTGCACAAGCGGAAATAGATCATTACGGTCTGCTGAAAATGGCGCTGCGAGGAGTTACACGGGATCTGGCTGATGCTCAACCTCAAGGAAAGGGCGAGACGCATATACAATCAGACAGTTACTGGTGCAATCGGAATTGGAACTCCTCGTTTGCTCCTGGTGATGGGGTTGGAGCGCTTATGGGGGTGTCCCGAGTGCTTTGATGTCAATTCCTAATTCAACATTCAATGAAACTTTAATAGGCTCTCTGTCTCTCTCTCTCTCTCTTTCTCTCTCTCCCTCTCTTACTCTCCCCCCCCCCACCCCCACCCCACCCCCACTATCCCCCCTCCTTGCCGAAGAAGAAGAAGAAGAACAGGAACAACAAAAAGTACAAGAAGAACAAGAAGATGAACAACAAGAAGGACAAGAAGAACAAGAAAAACAAGAAAAAAGAACAAGAAAAAGAACAAAGAGAACAAGAAGAAGAACAAGAAGGATAACAAGAAGAAGAAGAAGAAGAAGAAGAAGAAAAAGAAGATCATGATCGTGATGATTTTGACATTGTCAAAGTACTCACGCCTTACCTCAGAGAAGCTGTTAGCGGCCCGCGTACTTTCACCATCACTCATTACGACTGGCAGTAACTTTGACCTGGTCATTCTTATCACTGCCTTATCTCTAGCCACAGGAATAGCAAAAGTCAATCTGTCAGGTAGGTTAGAGTCGGTACTCCTCCTGGCTCGATAGTCAGAGTTCCAGGCCTCTTCAAGCAGCGTGACTTCAACGATCTCTGTATATACAAAAAAAAAAAAAGAAAACGAAATATGTTGTCGACTTTCTGTATGCTGTAAACGGGTAATCCTACCAATCTGTTGGAAGCTACAGGTTTCATAGTATGTGCGATCAACGATGCCGACATTTTGTTGTTGTCGCGGGGAGGTTATATGGTTAGTTTGCACTATTAGCTTCCTCCCTTCTTCATTCACTTGTTCCTAATATTCTACTTTCACAAGGCTGTGAAATTACATCATCAGTGACATAACTGACGTTGGTCTTTCTTTAGTAAAACCTAAAGAATCCAGCGTATTATGCCAAAATGTACCATATCGATGCAAAATGTCTTAAACGTACCAAAACATCAAACATGGTACCAAAAGTGTATTTTTGTTCGGCAAGAATCACCTGGTACCAAATTTATACGAAAGTACCAACTTAGGCAGCCTTCTGTGCAACGCTTTTGGCAGGCGACCAGCTATTCTGTGGAGAGAGACCGATCCCATGTTTCTTCTTCTTTGCGTTTACCACCTGTACACTCCGGGGGAAAGTACTGGTTGTGCGTCCACTCTGAACTGTAGTCCCGCTCCAGAACCCGAGTGTTGCGTGTGTATCAGTTTTACAGATCTGATTCACTAGAATGCAGCCTGTTGGTTCCTTGTCTCTCAGGCAGATGCACTCCGACTTCAAAGGAAGCTCCCCAAATAGTCGACTCTTACGACATGCTTTTGGGGCGGCAGAGGGTCTATTCCTGTTTTCCCTACAATAGGGCACTGGAACCCACACGGTGGATATCCCATATTTGATTAACACCTGGTGCAACAAAGCGGATCCTGTCGACTGTGGCTTTAAACTTTAACTCTCGTAAACACATGGTTAGTTTCTGGTGCAGTACCAAGAATCTAATTTTATAAGAAAGCGCCGCTGGAACTACATCGGCCAGTCACTCAGAATGAATAAGACAAGAGTTCCCCACCAAGCACTCATGAGGACATTGGAAGGGAAAGGAAAACAGGGAACACCAAGAGAGACTACGTAGAATCGTCATCAGGGAAGGCTCAACTATGGTCCTAACAAACATTCAAGACCTAAAGCAGGTGGCAACGAACCGTCAGAGATCGAGAGCTTTGACATCTTTCCTCTGTGCTGACTTAGGCTGAAGAGGAAAGACTAGCTAACTAACTAACCAAGAATGAACATTTGTAAAGAGTCATCGGTATATATGTCCACTCAGTGCAGATTGGCCATTGATCTTCTTCCAGAAAGCCTGTTTTATATTACAACTGTTTAGAAAACACTTTCTTCTTCTATGTTTCTTCCTTTTCGTTCAATTATTTTTGTTTAGATCCTGCTTTATACGACATGAGATACTACAGCTGTCCATCGCTTGCGTCAGCGACCTTACTAGCTTTCGTTTCGTTGTGTCTGGCAGGACTCTTGTGTGGTGCACTATGTTGTGGAAGCATTGAAATACGTCCGAAACCAAAGATCGGTTGTTGCTTGATGTAGTTTAGCACCTGTTACGTTCCAAACTGTTATAAACCAGTTTCAGCACTTTCTAGTTGAATATTACTAATTAAACATTTTCGAGTTAAAATGATATTTGCGAACTAGTTGTACATAAAAAAGGACAAAAAGACCAGGAAATTGATTTGAGTCTCTTGAGATGTGGACATAGGGAAGAGTAGGTCTCATTTTATGGAAACAAATACAGCCATATACAGAGCTTCTGTAGAGGCTGGAAATAAGAACTTTGCTGCTGAAGAAGACTTTTAGAAAAAAGACACTCAAATATTTCTGGCACATGAACATATACAAGACTTTTGTTTGAAAATTCGTTCCTGCAAAGGATGGTGGTAAAAAGCACGAGCTAAACAGCAAAATTTTCTTCTTAAACTTTTTTTGTTCACCGGCGGAAAGCTCCGGCGAAAAGTCCTGGTTGTTTGCCCATTTGGAATTTTGCATTGAGTTTGGGCCTGAGTTTTTACCTCTACATACGTTTTACTGACTTATTTGTGTGCTGTAGGTTGTTCCTTCCTTGCCACTGGGACAGAGGTACTCCGATTTTAAAGAAAGGTCCCTAACTGGTCGA